CTGTAATATTTCATTTCTTCTGACACATATGGACACGAGAAATTATATTTAAATTTAAAAGGAGCCCAAGTGGGATAGAAATTTGAGTCTGAACCTGTTGAACAAGGCTTGTTTCATTTTGGGCTATAGCATTGCCGCAAGGCCTGGGCGGAAGGGAACACCTGTTTGCACCCATCAGATACCAATCACAACTTCTCTCTCCAAACGAAAACAAAATACGAAAAATGTCGGAAGTGTATCCTTCTAATTTTCTATTTAGATACATGTTTTAACTTTAAAGTAATTATATGTATCTCATGTATTATTGGTATCTGTGATGCTGGTACCGCTTTGTTGCCATTGTGTAGCTTTTGTGGAGTTATTATGAATATCAAATACATGCCTTGAAATATGGACTTGTGAAAGAACTTATCATTGAATCATTTGCATTTAAATTAATGCATATACCATTTACTTGGCGTGTATGGACATATTATCCATCTACTTATACACACTTATTATGGACATATACAGAATTTCATTGTACCTTATTATTTAAAAAAATACCCGTGAGGATCCGGGTTAGAATAGGCATTCAACAACCCATGCTTGTACGAAGGCGACTTGGCTCGCTGACTTGGTTGATGCATGTCATCGTATCCCAAATGCGTAGATCGGTGCTCTTGATGATAATGACTAAATTGTTTGGTCCAGACTGGATTATTTACGAACCACCGTCATATAGCTGGTATATTGCTGAGTGCGGCGTTAAACAACAAACAATCAAACACAATCTATATAATTATTAAACACCTTCCAACAATGAGAAATTAAACTTATATTTTCTAAATATTCTGTTATATTTATAAGATAATTTGATTCATAATTTAATTATTGCGTTGCTTTCTTCCCTGTCATTCAATGTGCATGTTTAAACCCCTAAACTTTTAATATTTCATTTTTCATAAATGGCTACGTTAGTGCGTTACCTAGATCTCTCGTTACCTACTCACAAGAATAGATTAAAATAATTTGTTTTACTATCATATTTCTGTTTATCTCATTCATAATACGAAATTGATAATTCATTTATAATAGTATAGATCATATTCGTGTATATCACTATCTGATGCTAAGGTTTTATTTCAGAATATATAATTAATTCAAAATGTAGAAAGATACACAATTTGCCATTATTTGACTTTTAAACTGTACAAAGTATGATATAATGATCAGAATGCCTGTAACGGGTAGTATTTAAGAAAGAAATATTTGTCGAGAAGTCCCATTTTTCAGTTATGCCCTTCAGTAGTATTAGTGCATATCTCCAGAGAGAGGTTTACATTGTAGTTCTCATTATTTGTGTATAATTCAAAAAGCGACATAGAAAATATATATGCTACCATGACGAAAGAATACAGAGTATACATAACTCGCAATTCTATATATTCAGCAAACAGCCCAAAACCGAAACTCCACAACATATCCGATTACACTGATTAAGGCTGTCCCAGTTCTCCATGCGATACTGACGCCCGTTCGTCTCCCAGACCATACAGAATAAATTTAAAAGGAATCCAGCTCAAGTCTAGAACGATTTGGCAAGCCTAGATTGCCTTAATTCTATCCATGAAAGTAAGCATTAATAAAAAAAAATATTGTTCTTGTCTACTTCAGATTATATTTTGTAGATACTTATTTTAACTAGGAAAATTGTACTGACACCGGCGCTGTCCCTATTGAAGCTATCCATAAGAATTTCGAATTGCCGTCCATTGTTCGATGTCAAGACATCGATGACAAGTGACGATATCATAAAGTAATCGTTGATGCCGCGCTACACTTTGAAAAAAAATTATAATCAAGTTGACTGGTGTGTACATTACTACAGTGAACATGTACATGATCATGCCCTAATAATCAAATGCCGTAATGTCAAATCCATGTCTACAAAATGAAAATAATACAATTAAAATGGAGCATAGAACAATTCTTAATTTCAGGCTAGAGCTGTGGAAATCTAGACTTTCCCAATCATTATAGACTTGAGTTGGTCTCATGTTTTACATTATCAACGTCACAGCTCATACAATACACTAACAAGACCAGCTTGCCCCCCGCCGGAGCTCCCGGATTTTGGTTATATCATCTAACATGGCCAACTCTGCTCTTAAGTAAACAAGAACCTAATCAGCGAGGGGTCCTTTATCATCCCTATGTGGCTGCTTATACAAATCTGATATCTTTTCCCAAAGACCTGGTTAATAATATATTTTCTGCTGAATATTCGAAACAAATAGAGTGAGTTGGTACTACATGTACATATGTATACGGTTCTATTTTAAATGACTGCAGCGCTCCATTATGAAAACAATTTGTTTTAACGCCGCTCTCAGCAGTATTCCAGTGATATATGACGGCGGTTTGTTGTATATGAAATATATGCAAATTGAATCTTGAATCTTGAAAGTTGTAATATTTCCGCAAATAAGTATCACATGCAGTATACAGTATATCAACTGCAATATACTGTATACATCAGTATACAGTGTGTCGTGAGCTCTGCGCTGGGCTGGAGCACACATTTCCTACACCTCTCCCTTCGGCAAACACATCACGAGGGTTGCAACGAGGTCACAGGTCAGGCGTGCACTCGTCAGTTGTCTAATACGGTCAAGAGTAAGATCTTCCGGAAGACCACTGCACTGGAGGTATGTGGATTATTGAGGAGGTACTACGTGTTTGGAACTGGGAGTTGAACACTAAGCACTTTTAGAGAAGAGCTCACAATAAAACGTTATGGACTCGCGGACGGACTTGTGTTTTCATTTCAAGACGTACATTTATCAGGTTGAACTTCCTAACTGTAACAATAACTGAACTTTACGCCTTTTATACACATTTGTGATGGGGCGACAATGCGACAATGCGACAACGAGACATATTTTGACCTTGAAAATGTCGCGTTACGGCATCGTCGCCCTTTTGTAAAATAAAGAAAAGGATTATCAAAGAGCGACAATGCGAACACGCGACAATGCGACAAATTTTGACGCGTGTTGCTTGTTTTTGTAAAGGCGTCAATGCGACAATGCGACAACGAGACAATGTCCCTTCCATAGTAATCCGTGCAAATAAAACTCAGTAATGAAATAGAAGTCTGACATGCCAGTTAAAAGATAGATTGTTGCAGCTTCTGATTTCATAGATCTTCAAGAAGGGTTATCAATAATGGAATGGGTGATGAGTTCAACTGCATACGCTGTGATTAACAATAATGCTCCGAGTCAATACATTTTGTCAAATGTATGACATGTATTACGTGAATGAACATATTGTTTATACTCGTCCATGTTTTTGACGGACAAAATAATTTACATGCTCGGTAAAACTGAGGACGGGCATCATTGTGTGTTTCCGTGCTTTGTTCAGGTGAACAATTGACTTGTCCTTGCATGTGTTTGTGACGGGTGCAGGATACGCTCACCTTTTCCCGAACACCCATTGGATGACCTGAACCACTTCGGATTTTTATCCCACATCAGTCTGATACACCATGATATAACTGAAATACTGAAATACTGTACAGTTGAAAATGATGTTTAATGCGATTACCGTAGTGTGTTACTGCAACTGTTCATATTTTGTGCAGTGATGTTATGTAATATGTAAAAGAAAGCATATTCAATTATCAAATTGATTTGAATAGAATATACTTGCGTCAGTGTATTTTATTAACGCCCCAAATCGTAATTTAAACACATAAAATAACAGATCACGCATGGTGCCTTGACTTACTACCAGATTTAATGGGCCACCCCGGAATAAAATAGTTCCCCCCAAAGCGAGTAACATATGTCTTAGTATGTTTACAAGAAATATATTCCAAACAATATCCTCATTAGATGAGAAGATCTTTTACAGAATTACCTCAGTAAGTCAATTACAATGACAGAGCGCCGTAATACATTTACATCAAGTACAATACGTCAAAATGGCCGACACGATAAACGTGACGGGAGATATTTTCGAAGTTGTTAATTAACCTGTGGCTATTTCAAGCCTTTGGCATCACTGATCAATTGGCCGATCATTGAAAGGTGATTGTGAAGATGTGTCAAAAAGATACTAAGGTAAATTCATAGATTTCTGTAAATTGTCATTGCGACAGTTTGGATTTGTTTTCGTGTTTTTTCTCTCTGGGATGGGTTGTGGCGAGGGTATCCTTAAATGGGCTTGCAACCACGCTTCTGTATGAATTCGTACCAGGGAATTCCAAGGGTTTTCCCCAGGAATGTGGAAGTAGTCAGTGTTTACGCCTTTTCAAGAATACAGTCACGTGAAGAACGTCATGTGACCGACCTCGCGTCCAAGTCGTATATCTTGTAAACTTCACATTAAAAAATTAGTTATTGTTATAACCAAATGAAACACAACCCATTATCCGATAGGGGTAACTGTACATAGCCGTTTGACTTCTTGGCGCGTGTCTGAATTCCATTAACATGTAACATATCCTAAAACTAGCTTATCAGCAAATCTCGCTGCACTGCGCGCGACAGATACTAGAGCAAGGCATGCCAGAAATACGAAACCTAAAGCTTCCGAAAGGAAGCCTTGGACATCACGTGCGTCGGGGGACCAGCGCCATCTGATTGGCCGTTAACAGTTGTACAAGGCGGAGCAAAAAGCATCGTTTTTCCGTCCATTTTACGCTTGAAAAACTCGACCCTTTTCTGGACACTTTCTAGACGCTGACCAATTAATCAATTTTAATGAATTTTTAGTCGTTTTTCCGTCCAATGACCATATACGGAAAAAAACGACGTTTTCGTGTTTGCAGTGAGGGTGTTTACAGAGACAGGCTGAGAGGACATTTTGTGAGAAAAAGATAGTTAGTAATAACATAACATCACCAGCGAAATGAAACGTGCTAAATATCAACGAACCTGTCGACAATCGGATGTATAAACGATATAAAATTTGAGCTATATGGAAATAGTATAGAACCAGAAATTAACCTGCTTTAGAATTCGTTGAAGACATAACGTATTACACAAGATAAGAAAGTTCCAGGCAGCGGTGGGATCAATGCTTGTTGATTTTAACAGCAGGTGCAGAATCTCTTCGTCAGTGGCGTTGCTTGGGATGATGAACACCAATGTCTTCACACCCACGGCCCATGACTCATCCAATATTATTTTCGATGCCATCTCTGCAGTGAAACATGATGTTTGTCCATTGACATTAGTAAACAACTGCGTGATCAAATATTCAAAAAGAGGAGGTGTTATTAATAGTGTCTAGTTCAATTAAATTAGAGGTAACGCACTCGTGATATATATAATTTCAAATTAAATACATATAGTCTAAATAGAAAACGGGGGAAATGAGAAGAATTCACAATAGTTTCCTAAGCTGCAGTTTTAATCAAACTTTATATTCGGCAGTTAATATTAAGTATTGGCAGTGGGTTAGCATAATAGTGAACGCGGTGGCTCGTCACATCGATAACCTACATGGGTACATTCTGTGAAGTCTATACATTGTGTCTCCGCCTTCATTTGGCCATCTTCCAGGAGCAATGAGGTTAATTAACTGACTATACAAGTCAAGTTTCCACCCTTCCCGAACTCGACTGGAATTTCGAAGTCGACACACGTATCTTTGCATAGTGAAACGAAATCGACACCCGGTTCGTAAACAACACGACGAATGTCGTGCAGATTTCGGGCGATTGCAGGATTTGCAAAACTGGGCGTCAACTGATATTTTCCAATTTTGATCGTGTTCTTAACCAAGGTGATTTGGGTGCATTTTGCGAGGTAAGACCCTTTTTATTACAATACAGAACTTGATTATCGCTCGGATCGTCTTTTCTGGGCGCCGCCATTTTATTTGAAGCAAATGAAATTGATATGAGAGATGGAATCTGATAGATATGTAGGAGGGGAATAGAAAGGACGTAACTCGTTATACCCACTGATGGTGCTACGATCGAGCCACGAAATTCCAGCTGATTTGGCAGAGCGGCGTGTATACTCACTCACTTACTATAATTCAGTAGTAACATACGAGGGGTAGCTGAAATGTTCTGAGCCTAACTATGATGGATCCCTTTGATGGATTGAGTTTCTTGTTGTTTATAATCCTCTCCGAGGTATGCACACTTCTTCTTACGAAACTTGAGCGCCTGGGAAGGTTATACTCATGGTGGAGTAAAACGTTCCCCACAACTGAAAGGACGTTAAATTTGCATATTGCTTGCCAGACACTAGTCTTCTTTGGAAAGAAGTGACGGTGCCAAATCTGATGAATAAAGAGGATGTTCAATGAGGTCAAAGCCACAGTCTTGCATTGCAGCCACAGCGACAACGGGCAAACGGGCATACGGGCAAATGCATTGGCCTGCTTGAACGCCCGTTCAGTGAGTTTTTCACGACTTTCAGTTTTCATTGTCTATGATATCGCGAGGTAGTCTACTAAAAGGATTCGTTTGTAATCCCAGAAAGGTGAAGCCATCACCTTGTCAGCTGAACAGACTTTGCCTTCCTCGGAAGACGAGGCGTAATATGTTTCCACTGCTTGGACAGATGTTTAGTCTCTGGCTCATAGTGATATTGTCAATGGTCAACAAAATCATTTGGGCCTGCTTCAAAACGACGAAAGAGAGGCCTACTGTATTGGCTCTGTGACGTGTGGTGAGTCGTCCACCATCCATAATCATATCATGTATTTTATCAACATTTCCATCATGGTGACAGTTGGAGTGTTTCTGATCTTGGATCATCTTCGAGTCTCTCACTTTAACTCTCGAATTCTGCTTCCCACTTCTCAACAATGGCAAAGAAAAGAGTACCATTCCTTATATACTAAGTCAAATTAATAACTTCACATTTGTAAAAGTAATCATATATATGATATACAACCGACACATGTATCAGAGAAGGTAATTTTTAATCATTAATGTCCAAAGAAGGATTTTAAAAAACGGTGGTTACCATAATTTTCTCAAAGCACCTACGGTATTCGGTAATAACATCAACGGTTTAAACCATAAGTCCCAAGCACGAGAATCTGATGGCACACAAGTTCAGTAGCGTGTATGCGATCAAACCGGGTCCATGTGCTGCCATAAAAGGCAGAAGTTCTGGTGCCAGTACCTGGTCGCGGTAGGCAGCAGCGTTGAGGTTGCCAGGGATGACAAGAAGCCTGGAACGTGCATTGCCACAGAAAGCACCCCACACCATGACACTTCCGCCTCGAAATCTGTCAACTTTCTGTACACAACACTGGGCGTAACGTTCATGACGGCGCCTCCACACCCTCGCCCTACCATCAGCAAATCGAAGATTAAATCGGGATTCATCACTGAAGACGACGTGATTCCAATTCCTCTGAGTCCATCGTAAGTTTCGCTGTGCCCACAATTGACGTTGACATCTGTGTAATTGAGTCAGAATCGGCCCGCAGTATGGCCGTCGTGCTTGAAGGTGAGCAGTTCTCAGACGGTTTTGAACAGTTTGCCGACTCAGTCTACCCCTAAACAGTTCATTTCTAGTTGATCAAAAATCGGTTACGGAGCTGACGTCACACATGGTCGACCTGGCCGTGGGCGATCAGCGGTTGTACCCGTTTGCTGTAGACGCGTCTGTAAATCATAAACAGTCCGTCGACTACAACCCATCGTCCTTGCGACTTCAGCTACGGACGTTCCCGTCTGCAACATGCCGATGGCACGTTCACATGGCACATTTGAAAGGCGTGGCATGACAAATGGCTGTAAAGACTTTTGTTTTCTTGTGTTTTTCTTATTTTGTTAATGACTGCTAACACGTATGGCTGAAAACACGTGCGGTATTATGGCCACGTGATCAGTTGCACGTGAAAAAACACTTTTGCCACTATAGTGCTGTGCACATGATTTTGATCGATTCACCTGCACAAAAAACGGGTGTTATCTGAAGACAATACGTGGCCATTACTGTTTAAATACACAATAAGGGCCTACAATGATAACTGGTCAAAATGTAAAAAAAATAGGATTGTGAAGTTTTTAATTTGGTTCAGTATAGTTAACACACTGTCGGCAGTGGAGCACTTTGAGAGACTTGATGATAGCACGGTTGTGATGTCCATTTTCATCAACAGAGAATACCAAGTCACTTTGATATCTGCAGAAATATACTGCCTGGTTATGTACATTACATTTGTTTCAAATAATGTAATCATTGAACGTATTGTACTAAATATATGCACATGCAACATGTTAAGGGCGTAATTTAAATCCTTCGTAGTTAAGCTCAGAACTGCATGGTTAAGGTAAGCAACGTCTGGTGTATTGCAACATTTATTAAGTATGATTTAACGTAACTTTAGCTAAATCACGACGGGATAGGTTTCACACACTGTACCATGTTAAGAATCGATTCCGGATCTTCGGCGTGGCGATCCAACGCTTTGTCACCTGGGCTACACGCCATTTAATATAAATAATGTTTGTTTATTTAATGCCGAATTCAGAAATATTACAGCAGTTTGATGGCGGCCTGTAATTGATGTTATGACGAATGATCGATACCTTATGGATGCGACGACATCTATCAACCAAGTCATCGAATATGACAATCCGAGCAATTAAGTCGCCTCTTAGAATCGGCATAATGGTACCAAGGATATTGCGGGTAAGAACAGGACCCACTTGCACAAAGTGATCTTAGCGCAAAGACTAGTGTAAGCCTATGTTAAAGTATGGGAGCTACGATCATGTTAGAGATAAGATTGCTTTGTGCAAGTGGGTCCTGTTCTTACCTGCAAGATCCACGGCAGTATGTAGCCTTCCAATATGTAATGAAATTCCGCACACTAGAAACTGAGTATAATATGGAGCTATGGTGAGGTGTCCTTACCGTGTTCTTCATCACTGAGGATGATAAGCGAATCCCAGTTGAGCTTGATGAGAAGTGGCTTCAGGACGGTGTAGATGTATGTTTCGGGAAGATGGAAAGTAATATCACAAGCTTCTCCTGTTGTCCTATTAGTGTCTACGTCAAAGCATACAACGTCTGTGGTTAGTGAGAAATGCCGCATCTGATAATGCAGGAAGCTGCACATGAATGATGGCGTGAGGATGGCATAGGCCCTCTCCATCATTGATGACACCTCTGAAAGTAGTTGTGATCAAATAATTGATGTAGCCCACCTTTATACCATATTACACAATTTCCCCCAAAATATATTTCATGCTTATATTCCATATTATATTAAGTAATATTAAAATGAATAGCATGTGGTTGCACTAAAATTGCATACGAATTCATCTCAAATGTACTTTGACATATCAAAGGAAACATACTGGTTCGATTCGACGACATATGAGACACTAACAACCCACATCTGCACACGTTATGTATTTGCTTTCAGCGTTGACGTGTATATGTATATGGCGGTATATAAGATAGTACATGCCCTAAGCATTGCGTTAATCTAACATTCTCTTTTTATGTATGAACTTGAAAACATACGCGTGGAAACCAACGAAAACGGATGTCTGACGTCGATTTCGGTAGATACAATCTTCCATGCCTGGCAAGTCCATGTGAAAAGTGCGGATTCCAGGCATTGGACATTGGTGCCAGGCTCGTTCTGACCCTCAAGTAGAACTGAAACAGGACACAGGTTGTACATTATCTGATTCCTCTGCTGAAATTTAAGAATTGACTATAAATACACGCACTGTTATTAACGTATAAAAGGAAACCAACAATAAGTTCACAGACTGCAGTTGGTTTCATTAACACAAAGAATAGTAGACACCAATAAAAAGATCTTCGGCGCAATAATGCAAAACCAGCCCCGCCGACTTTATTGTCAGCCATCCACGAAAGTAGTCAGTTGGTAGGCGTGACTTACAAAATCGCTTTATTGAAACATAAGCGGATAGTAAATTGCTTGGTTAGCCAATACAATGCCACGGGATACGTATGTACGTATGACTGCAATAAAAACTGCTAAATATGTCCCAGTGTAAGACGTAAGTGGCAGGATTTATAGGACGTACTGGGCTAACCTTTAGCATTACCTGTCTGGAAATAACAGTCCAGGACAAGAAAGACATGTGCATATCGTCGAGACACGATGAAAGACAGTGTCTGTTGAATGAGTCAGGAAAAACATTGTAACAAAGTAATCTAGTCGAATACAAATGTACAAATAACACTTTTCAAGATTTGTAAGGTGCTACGTCCCAACTTTATTTAACTTTATGGCTGAGATGTGAACGTTGAAATGGTATTTCACTCGAAACATTCAAAAACCAAATACAAATTATCCAATAGGTTCTCTCACAATATGAAAGCACTTGTTCAACCTCGGTTAGAAATGCACACTTCGCAAAGGTCTTTATTGAAATCCGCAGAACTCCCGCAGGGCTACTCAATGAGTTAAGGTGACATGTGTAAGCAATTTTCTCTCGAAGGACACTTATCATTAAAAGAAAAACTATTGCATTTAAACCTTTAATATTTCTTTTGACCTTTCTGAGTCGCCGCGACCGATTGTAGCTGATGACCTGGCTGCCACATGAGTATTTGATACTTGATACTTGCGAAGATACGTGTTAACATTTGTTTGAACGTGTACAATAATCAATTCAAACAATTCAATGGCTCTTATACCCCTAGTTTATTGCAGAAGTGTTTTAAACTTAAACGATGTTTACCTGATAATGTTATAACAATGTCAACATTACTCGATGCTTGTCACAAACCAAGCTTGCAAGGTGACACGCTTCTCACTCATACAATGAAACGCAGGTTGACTTGTTTCTGTACAGTATAAGTGCTTGTACAGTGTGCAGTAAACTCCGATTAACAACCGTTGAGAGCTCCTCAGTGAACGTTTTGAAAAGGGTTACATGCCCTGTTCAGGAAGGAAACTGAAAACAGGTAACATGGCATTAAACGATCATTTGTTTATAATATCGATCCTACTTATGTGCATGTCAGTTTGGTCACGTGATACTGCGTTGGCATGGAGTTGATAATGCATGTTCTTATGGTCTGAAGTTGCATAACTCAGTCACGACAAAGACATAAACCTGTTTTGTATTTCAACAAGAAATATATGTCTATATTCGTAAAAAAAATAATTAAATGAACAATACTCATTATGAGCATACACTATTTTAAAAGTCAACATAAAATAAATAGGTAGCTAAGAATATAACCAAGACTGTTTTCAGGAAACACATAAATAGATAAGAATATAACCAAGACTATTCAGGAAACTCATAAGTATATGAGAATTTAACCAAAACTGTATTCAGGAAACACATAACTAGATGAGAATATAGCAAAAACTGTATTCAGGAAACACATAACTAGATGAGAATATGGCAAAAACTGTATTCAGGAAACACATAACTAGATGGGAATATAACCAAGACGATTCAGGAAACACATAACTAAATGAGAATATAGCAAAAACTGTATTCAGGAAACACATAAGCAGATGAGAATATAACCAAGACTGTATTCAGGAAACACATAACTAGATGGGAATATAACCAAGACGATTCAGGAAACACATAACTAGATGAGAATATAGCAAAAACTGTATTCAGGAAACACATAACTAGATGAGAATATGGCAAAAACTGTATTCAGGAAACACATAACTAGATGGGAATATAACCAAGACGATTCAGGAAACACATAACTAAATGAGAATATAGCAAAAACTGTATTCAGGAAACACATAAGCAGATGAGAATATAACCAAGACTGTATTCAGGAAACACATAACTAGATGGGAATATAACCAAGACGATTCAGGAAACACATAACTAGATGAGAATATAGCAAAAACTGTATTCAGAAAACACATAAGCAGATGCGAATATAACCAATACTGTATTCAGGAAACACATAATTAGATGGGAATATAACCAAGACTATATTCAGGAAACACATAAAAAGATGAGAATATAACCAAGACTATTGTCAGGAAACACATAACTAGATGAGAATATAACCAAGACTATTGTCAGGAAACACATAAATAGATGAGAATATAACCAAGACTATGTTTAGGAAACACATAAATAGATGAGAATATAACCAAGACTGTATTCAGGAAACACATACGTTGATGAGAATATAACCAGGACTGTATTCAGGAAACACATAACGAGATGAGAATATAACCAAGACTGTATGCAGGAAACACATAAATAGATAAAAATATAACAAGACTCTATTCAGGAAACACATAAATAGATGAGAATATAACCAAAACTATATTCAGGAAACACATACGTTGATGAGAATATAACCAAAACTATATTCAGGAAACACATAACTAGATGAGAACATAGCCATGACGATATTCATGTTTACTATTTAATATTATCACTTTGGTGAAATCCACGATCTCGGGGATAGTTGTGAGAATCCACAAAATCAGGGCGAATCCTCCTGGACGCAAGTCTGTCCGGCTTATTGCAACGCCTCAAACGACTGTGACACCATTGGTCCCGGGTCGTGAATAGGTTGCATTCGTTGGAGAAATATAAGTGTCGTACTTTCATGGATGAAAGGATGAAATCTCCTACCCCTAGCATTAATATAAAATACCTCCATAACACAAACGCATCATGTCGTGACGTCTTCGTTTTACAAATCTAAAGTCCGAGTAAAATGGACACATCATCCATCTTCCATGTTAGTAATTACATTTTCCAGTATCATCATTACACAAATAATACCTTTTAAAATGAAAAGCGCAATCGTTTAAAATGAGTGACTTTTTGTGCAAAGTATGGTATTATTAAACAGTGATAGGCGTGTGTGTGTTCGTGTATTACAAGTGACTTTGTTATGTAATGCTTCTCATGCCAGTGCGACATCGAATATGCGTTTCCCATGAAACATATTTACTTTAAACACAAGAATAATATACCCTTAGTGCACGGCAGGTGGTGAAGTGCATGTTTAAGGCAGAGAGAGTGCGAGTGGATCCGTACAATCGGGGTCGATTTAGATTTAGACAATTTAACGTTGTGTGTTCAGTAAACTAGCACTGTTGCTATAGTGGGACTCTTTTCAGTACACACGTACCTCTATGGTTACACGGAATGGTTACGCAGAAAGGATTTCCAGCATTCATTCTAAAATTAAGTGTAACTGAGTAATTAACGTGAACAAACAAGTAACAGGAAGTGCTTATAACAATATTAAGAAAACAATACGCAACGATCTGTTTAGTTCTAATTTTGATGGTTTCGTAGGTTCCCCATTGTCATTCCACATGTCTTTGTACATGATGGTGAGTGAGTGTAATACCAGAGACATAATGTGAAAATACCCGTAGTGTTGACATTGAGTAGCTAGTTTGGTGACATGAGGGCATGTCAGCTGTGTGTGGGTGGATCGTCCAAAATAATTCGCGTTGAAGACTATCCACTTGGTAAAACCAATCATCAGGGGTGTGCCGCTGACAAATTATTTATAAGGAGCATGATCAGTTTGAACCCGGATTCCAGCCAACAATCATCAGATAAGAGACGCGATACAGACACATGCGCATGTGTCGGTTAGCAAGATAAACACACTATGGTAGTTAAAATAGACATGAATAAATTCTACTTTTATGGGATTGTTTTATTCCGTGTAATAAAAGTTACATTGTAGTTCAACGTCTGTTCTTGTAGTGTCAGCTCTTTAGGCCTTTTAGTTTCTGATAAGAACATTTCTAAAGCTATCATTTGTTTATTTTGTTCTAATTCTAAAACAAATCTCACTGGATATATATTTTAACGCCAATAACAGATCTTGAAATGGTTAGAATCCAAGGCACGAACGTTTTTTTGCATCACTTAAAAGATTTGATTAGCCCGGAGAGCGCGATGAGTCGCTCAAACGTGACGCGCGTGAAACAAATTCAGCTTGCTTTTTGACGACTAATATAGTAAAATGCATGCCCTGGGGCAAGTGTGATATCCACATTTGACTTACTTGCTCTCATTTATCAATCACGTTGATAAAACTTGCCCATGCTGATGGGCCCTGATCAAGAGATAAATAGTGTTTGTCCATCTATTCGTTCTTTTACCGAAAACCGAACAAATTAAACAACGTTCAATGTATAGAGTACCACACTGATAACATATGCAAGTACCTCCCTTTATAATCGGATTTACTATTAGTCTTGACGATAATAGATATTAAACGGTTAATTCCATGTCGCCGTGGTAAAAGACTACATTCGTTAGTTTTGACTGTGCGGATTCTAATCCCGCTGACAAGAGACGTTTTTCGCATAACAAAAATACCCCCGTGAAGACCCGGGTTAGAATAAGTCTTCAGCAAACCTATGCTTGTCGTAAGAGGCAACTAACGGGAAGTGCGGTCAGGCTCGCTGACTTGGATGATGCATGTCATCAATCCCAATTGCGTAGATCGATGCTTATGAACGTCTGGTCCTAACTCGATTATTTACAGACCGCTGTCATATAGCTGGAATATTGCTGAGTGCAGCGTTAAACAACAAACAAACAACAACAAAAATGAATAAGTTTCGACATTGTGAAGAGGTGTTTAACTTGCAGTTCAGATAGTAAGTGCCTGGTAAAAGCAGATAGAAAATATTTAAATGACTTTTCCTAAGCGTTGGAAATGCTCTCAGAGGCTATATCATAGTCACGAAAAATGAACGTATTTGCTCTTACTAGAAGTTTTAACAGTTTAACAGAAATATACCGTGTTACGTTTATAACCTGTTTTCGATCACATCAGGATATGTACCTTGCAGTATAAAATACTTTCACGAGTACTGTCAACTCACTCGTATAACGAGTTAAATAATCTGATGCCATTCTTTTCTAATGCATGAGAAAGCAGAACACATAACCAAAATTAAATATGAATTTATAGTTACCATTTCATTGTTTTGTTATTGTCTTAATAGAAATTGAAATTATTGTATACAACATGTAACCCTGTATCAGGGTATATGGGCGCAGCAATCGGCGAAGCTCGCCCCTTTCCTAATACAGACAGACAGACAATAGTTTATTAATGTCACACTTCTGTGCAACAAATAAACATTCATAGAATGTACGGAAATATTCAATAGAATTATGAGAGAAACATTATTATAAAATGCGTACAGATATGCTGTAAGGATCATATAGTAAACGTGATCCATATAAAAGATTAAATAAAGTAAGTAATAAAGTTTGGTAAGTATAAAACACACACTGGCATCACTGAATATAAAACAACGTTTATCGATATCAGGTTTATCTTAACAATTCTGAGACTTATACTTATACTGAGAACTATACATTCATCAAAAAGAGTTGCCCTGATATCATCATATAATACGCAGTGAAACAAAACATGAACCTCGTCTTCTACGCTGTAATTATAACTGAAGTGAAAACACTTTCTATTTTGGACAGGCTAGGTATACCTTCATACCGACCAGTTTCTACTGGAACGAGAGCCACATCACACTTAAACTTGGCTTGTGCCGATCTAAAGTTTCTGGGAATCTTTTTTTAAGCATAGTCTTCTGTCCCATATACTTGCTTGTAACATCGGTACACTCTCAGTTTATTAAGCCCATTTCGCCCCTCTGCCTTTCTTAACATTACACTCCAACGGGTAACATACCCATTCATACACCACTGTTCTACCTGTGTACACAAAAAGATTTATCTATAATCTATAGTTGTCCTAAATCCATATGACTAAACTTCTAATTAAACTACTGTTCATTTTTTTACAACCATTTACACCGTACCTATCAGCCCAGTTAAGCACATGTTTGTTTAACCTCGGCATATTCTTAAGGCGACACCATTGTCTAGCTACACTTTTCCATTTTCTAACAATAAGCGGTATTATCCCCATTTATTGGACATTAGTGGCATATTTACCGAGTCCCAAATAAAATCTAACAGCTTTGCGATGTACAGTAATTATTGCTGATACATCATAATTACCCACCCCGTGGTCAAGAACTGTCCACACCATACTATCGTCCAATTTGGAATTGGTTTGGAAAAGTATACCTGGAAATGTATATATGGTCTTAACATTGGAAATTAGCAAGCCCAAAGCCCCATTAGCAGACTTCGCTACAACACGTACAATTGCAGTAAAATCTAAGTGGTCTGTAAACAGTAGATCAAGATAATAATACTTACTAACAATGTCCAAAACCATATTTCTAACATTAAAAACATGCTTCGTCTGTATGACAGACATGTTTCCAAAATGGACAATTTTACACTTTTCCTTATTGATCTCTGTCTTCTTTGAGCAACACCATGTATGTAGAACATCTAACAGTGAACTAAGCTTAAGACCAGCTTCATTCTCAGCTAGTAACGCTAAATCATCCGCATATGCTAATGCTGCAATATTAAAGTTGTCTCAAGTTACACCAATATTAAGACTGCTGAGAGCATGTAACAATTTTTCTGTGAAAAAAATAAAAAGCAATGGAGATAACAACCACCCTTGTTTTAAACCACGATTTACCGTGAACCAGGGAGCAAAGAAACCATTTGTTCGAACACTGCATTTAACGTACTCGTATAATCATTGCAAGGCAGTTGACATGGTGCCTTCAATACCGCTATTAAATATGCCTATTTACATAGTCGTTAGCTTTTTCTTTTTTCTTTTTCTATTTTCTATAAATGATGTTAGCGTCTGGACGCGGTCGATAGTAGATATCGTTTGTAGGAATCCGTATGTGCATCATGGAGTACGTAGTTAAGTTCTGTCCACATTTGTAGTTTTCTGTTTAGGACACTACAATACAGTTAATAAATGTACAGTAAGCAGGGCTCCGCCTTCACACGCTCACGGATGCACATTTCCCCGAACATATATTAACATAGAGGGTATGCCAACCCATATCACCCGAGGGACAACGAATCGATCTTACCGCACAACTTATTATATTGCAGGTTGTCTTATGCATGCATGTTTGGTCCGAATCAGAAACTGTATCACAGTAAGGCATATTTCCACCTGGTTCATTCTTCACGTTTATCGAAAAAAAGCAGACAGCAGAAAATAAACTTAGAGGTAGTCCCCCGAGATCTTTTTCATTCTGAACATATGGTAAATATCCGGAGAAGGGCGTCTTACATGATTAATTCAATATACAAAATTGCGGTAGGTAATGCCAACAGTTCGACAATTCGAACGGGTAACGTAAGAAATGCACCTTACATGCAAGCGGGGGCTGCCCATCGCAGCAATGGGGTAGTATAGTGGTTAAAGCTTTTGCGAATGTGTAATAGAGTGGGTCTCAGCCAATCCAAAGCCTATATTCGTGTGTAAAGGATAGAACCCGTCTTAGGGAGATCAACAAAATCTTTTGTCTTTGTCTTGGAACCTTGAACGATAGAATAATACATGCATTCCGTGTGTGTGATTTGTGGAAAGTGCACAAAGCCAACAACACTCATCTTTTTTCGCATCATTAGGACTTTGTACACAAGCACTTATCTATTTACCCGCCAAGTTGCATTGATCAGTCTTTTGCTTTCATACATTGCCTAGTGATATGGAATATATCAATCAAGGACGCACCATCAGCAAGGAAGGACACTTGCTAGAAGAACATATGTATAGTTTCTATGCGAACTGGAACCTCTTCAATCATGGTGGGGAATAATCATTATTTCCATATTCCCATTTTGTAATAATAAATACATGATGAACATTAATTGGTAGCACTATTTATTGAACTGTTGTTCTTGGGCGGCATACGGACTACGTGATATTGGCGTGTGTTGAGTGTTGGGTGAGGCCTGGGTAAAAAAGGCTGGGGTGGTATTCTTTTCCGTGAATGGCGCAGCCGTACAATTTCATTTTTAAAGTTACCTATACGTGGCATAACCTTAAGACCATTTACTTTTGCCATTTATTTCTGGGTCACATAATGTTTTGTTTTTTTGAAAACCTGTGGTCTCTCTCCCTCGGTGCCTTATACACTCCTGGATTATTTAGAAGATAAACATACTTTGTTTGCAATGAAGAGCTAGGTTACCTGTAGATTTAACCCCGCTTAATTGAATTTGGAACCGAATGCGCAGCGTGAGGTATCAACTGTTAAATTTAGCGCGGTTAAATCTACAGGTAACCTAGCTCTTCATTGAAAACACAGTATGGTTATCCACATTCTACCATGACTAAATAAAACGCAATCTCTTCGGTGTTAGCAAATATACTGAGTGTGGCGGCATGGATTGAGTCCAGTGTTTTGAGTGGGTTGTCGATCTGAATTACGGAATCACCGACAACAGCCTGTAAACAAAATATCGCGCTGAATATACTCAAGCAGTTTGTTAACACCGTAATACTTCACTCGAACACATGAAAAGCAATGAAAGCATATAAGCACGGCAACTTGGTAAGCTAACGTGAGGTAGGCAACCCTAAAGAAAACTAAGCAAGCTTTGCAAGGCTTTCGTTCTTCACCGCACGTCAACATTATAACGTCATATCACTCGTTGTGACGCAAAAGATATGACGTCACAGTCGTATATAGAAAAGCGCCAAATTCCAAGGTCTCTGTTCTCTCCGAAACGTAAATACATTCTCTTTTGAGATTGTCGTGTTTTCTGCACGAAAGGAATTGCCACACATCCTTTGAATATTGTAGTAACCACATCTGTGCATTTTGTAACCTGTAATTGTAGATATAATTATTTAAATATGCCTACCGACAATGAATGAAAAAAAGTACTATTCTATGAATATTAGCTTCCGCGGTGATGCGACCGTCAAACCAGCTGTTTCAATATGAGGGGGTTTATTGTGATTTAGTAGATTCTGATTGACCAATCAGAATCGTGTAAATATCCAATTCATGGTTGAATCAAAGTTAAAATTATATTTTTTTCCTGTCACATCCTGAAAACCATTATATTGTGTAATTTTATGTTGCAATGCAAGTATAATTAATTACACGTTAATGTTGTTGTGCAGCCTTGGAATCTCATAGAATACCAAACAACATTTCGCCTACATTAGCTGTATTAAAGTACAGAAGGCAAATTCTGTAATTCACGTACAAAATTGCAATGATGCGTGCGATTGTGTACTTGTTTCTGAAATACTGAGTTTGTAAAGTATTTTGATCATTTCATTTGAAAATAATAACCATTAAATCACGTCTTTTACAGTCGACCTTTTAATAACTGTAAAACAGATGGCACATTGACTTAAATCAGCATTAATCTTTGAGCTATCTATTGTTCAGTTCCTGTAATACATGTTGTTTATCTCCCAAGATAAAAAAAGTACTTACCTACATTAAGCAACTCGGTTGTTTCCGATCTGTTTCCTTGCAGTATGATGGTTAGTGCAAGGTACACCAGACACTTGGCCGACATCACACACATGTCCTGCTATCAATTTGCATCATCCTGGACAAACAGCTTGATCTTTCTCACGCTCTACGGGACGTCTAATTATTTGAGTAGAATAAAATTGATCTTGTTTTTTTCTTGACTGTTGATTGTCACGTTATAACATACACTGTAGCCTTAATCGATTTGTCGTTGTCGGACTTACATGGGTTCAGCGTATGATGAAAACGGCTCTCGGGACATACTCAGTGTCCAATTGTTGGACTATATTCTGGACCTTCACGCCTTGCTTCTGTATAAGCCGTAGCGAGACAAACAGACGCATTCACCACCGTCGGTTTACCAGGGAAATGAGAAGACAGACCTAATGAAAATGAGGTTCTTATGACAAAATAATGATGTTCCTATTGGTGTTGAGCTGATCAATGACAGGTATCAGTCCTCAAGCAGGTACTTAATTATACCTTGTTAATGTCAATAGCAAATGCGCAGCAGGTACATGTGGATTATGCAAGTACCTTGAAATGATCCAACTGGAATACGTCAATCCTGTCTTGTATTAGACTTTGTTGCTAGGATCCATTCACACATATTATGCAAACTACACTGTAGAATGCAGTCACTGTAGGAACTGTTTGTTTTCCCGTGTAGCTGAAACAGTCAGAAGATTACATTGTCAGTCAGTATTGATGCACCTATCTATCGTGCGTCAGGGCTTGTGTCAGAGTTAATGCTATTAATTCAGCATGAACGTGTTAGGCAAAATATAGCGATGACGAAGACTGAATGAGGCCTTTTGGCCTATGAATAAAATACAGGTTTAGCTACAAAACCCAATAAAATTACAGACCTGAAAGTATGCACTTGACAAAAGTGAAGCATCACCCTTTCTAATGTTTATCTCTATATATATATATATATATATATATATATATATATATATATATATATATATATAATGTCTATGTATCTTTTGGAAATTTCCTTATACAATAATAAAGTGTATATTTATCATGCGCCAAATCCACACACTAAAACTAGCTCAAAGCGCTGAGTTATTACCCGGATGAATGCATCAGTGTCCTCTTGACCGTGATTCTCAGCTCCCTTGGGAGTACATGACATTGGTCTCGTTTTGATAAATGTCACAGCTACGTGGGCAGTTGGTACAGGAATACTGTTCAGGATCTCCATATGGTTGCCAGTCAAAGGACGTATGATATCGATGGATTAATTCCCAATTTGTAATTCGTTAATGCCATATATGTAAACGGTTATTTGATTATCTCGTTAAAGGGCAAGTTCACATGGAAATGAACCTATTTTACTTGTACTTTTTCCACATCAAAAGTGTTAACCTAGTAGTGTCATAGACAAAAATATAAAAATTTAACACAATTAATTAACATATTTTTTGCATTAAAACGATTTATATTTTTCACATTTACCAAGTATTCTATTTCCATAACAAAAACTCCATGGCTTATGCCCCTTGCAATATGACGTCATTGGTGCCAATTGATAAACATTATGACGTCATCATGCTTTGTTAGAGCCGCTTCACGTGGTGTAGGTACAGGTGTTGATTCTAGCGTCTCAGATGCCAGCCAGAATAGTGTTATGCTGAGTCACCACTGCGCCGGAGTGTGTCGTAGGCCATGTTGTTTTACCGCAAACTGGTACTTGATATCTTTTGCGTTGAGAATAGACAGGGACCCAGTTGAATTGGCACCAATTACGTCATAATCTAAGGGGGATAACTCAGGCCTGTTTAGCTCGAAAAACGAAGGCCTCATAACAGCATATCATTTTCACTCTACTTCCTACTTTCACTGTGAAAAAAATGAGTTTATATTTTCAAACACAGATACTAACTAATTCTAAAATTGCGTTTTGTTTAGAAAAAGAAAGAAAGTGATTTTTGCGTGTACACTTCCCCTTTAATAAGGAGGTGGGGTGAAATGTTGTTTATGTCGCGTACAGTATTATTGCACTTACATAGCGACGTGTATGCACGTGTGTGTGGCTGCTTGTAATCGTCCGGACTAATGCCGATTTATAGTGCTAGCCCACTGAGATTCCATGCCGCAGTTGAACATGAATACCTCCCTCAGACACAGTATATTGACCAGTCCTGGTTTAAGCTGCTTTATGCCGAGCGCCAGACTGGGTAACAACAAGTACCATCGTTTAACGTCTTTTGGTATGACGCGGTCGAGATCGAACCCCGGATCTTCCACTCTCCGGGCGGACGCTCAACCACGAGGCCACGGAGGCGGTCCCGACATGATGTGTACACGATGGGCTCCAAATGAGAACGATGAATTGCAGAATAACTCAAAATCGGGAATAGTAATCAAATGTCAATAGGGTACATGGCAATGAGTACCCTGTACCCAACAATATCTGATGTTTGTTATTTTTATTCCCATCATTGGAAAATGTTGTTATATGCACAAGTTGACGGAGGGAGGACAACGTTAGGAGGAACAGCGCAAACACGTATTGCACGTGCTGCATAGTATGCGTCGTTGTGGTTGACAAGATGCGCTGATGTGAAACAGATGATTTTTTTTTAATGTATGATTTACCTCAATGTGAAGCAGAAAGAGGAAAACCATTTCATGCCATTAATAAATACTTGAAACGTGTTTCAAAAGCTCTTATTAGTATATCTCCTAACAAGTTGAAGATGTTGTGCGTCCACGAGAGGTGACGTTGGACGATTGAACACAACGTTTAGATGGCGTGATGTTGAAAGGCGGATAACAGTGGAGACATGGCAGCGTTGCGTTACTAAAGTCGTCAACGAGATAGAGTCAAGATACTGGTCACGTGATGGACTTCAGCAAGCATCAGCCCCACCTATAGTTGTGACATTCAGTGACACAATCAATTCCGATTTTGAGTTATTTTGCAACTCATCGTTCTCATTTGGCTTCAAACGGACTGTAGTAAACAGATAGGCAGCGATTCGTGTCCGATTACACATGTTAACTGTTATCACTTGTCACAACACCCGTTCCGATTTTAATTAAGATAATTATATTCGGTGTGGAGTGAGTGAGTGAGTGGTGCGTCAGCGAGTCAGGAAAAAAGGACCAAAAAGGATCTTCCTTCGAGTCATAGAGGAACAGCGTCAACCAAATCAGTGGCAAAACTGACTGTGGCGATTTGGCGACTGCGGGTAGTTGAACGTTATTTCTTAACTGTTAGAGTATTCAGGGCACTTTTAGGCTGATTTTGGAAACAATGGACTCCCAACTCATTTCGAAACAACCGTGAATTCGAAATCTGATCATAAATTATGGTAAATAAAAATGAATTTGCTAGGGACCGGAAGGTGAATTAGAGACATACAAGTTTGACACAATGAGGTTCAACTACATTGCAGTGCTCAAGTACATATAAAATAGAAGTGCATTTCTGATGTAACACACACGCAGACACACATACACACACAATACGCACGCACGCACGCACGCACACACTCTTGAACGCAACGTTAAACCCCATTTCACCTCACCTGACAAAATGGGCAACGTTGGTTGAACGCGCCCGCGCAGTAATCAAACGCCTCACCTTTCGTCAGCTTTCGACTAATTGACAACACACGCCAGACAGTCCGTGTATTAATTAGGCACCAGGCACCACAAAACCGGGTCACATTCCCAGTCTGATTAACATGAACATGTGGTTAATGACATACGCCGACTAATTGTACAAACGAGCTGCATGATGAAGGCACTAGCTTTGCTCATCTCGTAATTAAAGCCCCATACACGACACCGAATATCCGAGTAACTACTCACTGTTACAATAAAGGTCAAATCACATGTCTCATTTTCGGATTCATTTTACATGAATTATCAAACACTGTACCAATAACAACCTTCCCTACCACCACCTGCCCTATCCCCCCAACAATAAAAAGAAATTTCAGAGCCATGATTTCACTGTGAAAAGCTATTAAATATTGACTGGTACTAACAAATCTGAGACTAGGAAACGTTGATGTCAAATTGATTAATTGTGATCACAACCATCAGTTAACTGCAAAACTTTATAGGGAAGATGCTTTTAAACAATTAATGATGAGTGACCTTGGGAGCTGGGATTCTTTGTGGCCCTGAGGCTATAGCTACTGACATTAAAATATAGGATAGATTACCACTTGGGAACTCGGTAATATTGATATTTACAAAAAAGCTGTTTTGGCGGTTGGTGTTCCCAGAGATGTAGAATGTTGGAAAGTTTACGCTGACATAAGGTCATCTCGTACGCTGACAATGAACCATTGTGCCATAATAGCTTAAAATTATAGGAAGCGCTGGCACTGCATTCTTGAAAGGTACATGTAGTGAAACTGAGATTTATATTGATTTTTCACGGTTTTACTACATGCTAATGTTTAATATAATCTTCGAAATCCATGTCTTCATGTACTTGCTCAACACACTTCTCTTGGGAAGCACCACGTAAAACTCGCGATAACAAACCTAAGTATTGGATAAAACACGCCTCTGGGGTTTTGGTTGAAAATGTAAACACTAGAGCGAGGAATTTCCCGACTCCTGAGGGTTTACATTTGCAACAAAAACCGAGGGGTAGTGTTTTCGCTGGCTTATAAACCATCAAAAGAGTTTAATTTGAAAAAATACAATTTACATTAAGGCGCGTTATAACGAAACAATTATAAAGCATGTTCATGTATACAAATGTTGGCGAAATCGCGAACTAAAACCGACGAGTGTTTTATCCAACCTATGAACCGTCTTTATGCAAGAAATAACAGAAAAAATACTGAACCAATACAGTATGTCGCGGTACATTTGTATATGTGTCTTCGATTGTCCTAGCGGTGCAGCGTCCGCCCGCGTCATACCAAAAGACGTTAAAAGATGGTACTTGTTACTCTGTCGGCATCAGTCCGGACCAGTACAAGCAGACCCCCCCCCCCCCCCCCCCCCCTCCCAACACACACACACACACACACACACGTGCATGCACATCGCTATATAAGTGCAGTAATCTTGGACGCGACGTTAAACCCAATTTCGCCTCACCTCACCTAGAACTCTGAACGTTTGAAAAACCAAGTTAAAATTTCATCTGCTACTCAAATGATCATGTCTTACTAGGAAAAAGTAACACCTCATATCCAGCATGAGGTCTTACTTGGAAAACCTCCCATTAGGTTATTACGAGATAGGGAGATCAAAACCATCGTTATACATGTGTCTAGTGGTTTTGGGGAGTTTTATGTAGATTCTAGAGTCGAATTACTAACCAGTAATCTATAATAGATGTTCATTCTGTGAGTGAAACAATCATTTGG